CCCCAAACATTCTATGATTCTATGATTCTATAACACATATGCTGTGGAGGGAAGCCTGTGTCCCATGCTGTTGTCTGGGACACAAGTTAGAGGGTGACTGTAACAGAGCTAGAGGCTTTGGGAAAAGAAAAGCCCAATCCTTTTCCCTTTTCCTTTTTTTATTTTCCCTTTCTTTTTCTTTTGCCTTTTCCCTTTTCACTCATTTTCTTTTCCCTTTTTTCTTTTCCCTTTTTTTCTTTTTTTTTTGAGAAGTGGGAGAGTGTGGAATATTACAGGAGATTCATTACCCATTGTAGCTTGTCATTGCTCCTCTCAGTGAAGTCCAGATGAAGGATAGGCCAGAGAAAGTGAACAGTGAAGAAGATTGCTGTTACTAAGAAAAGTGTCTTTGATCAGCACTTCATACTCTTCACAGAGAGGAGCCTGAGGGCAGTGTTCCTGCAGGCAGTGCTAGGGAGGAGAAGCAGCCGTTGTATAGCTCTGAGATGGATGATCTTCTCTATGAAAGGAGGTTCCAGCTATTGAGAAGTACTACCTGATGTCCGTGGGCTTTCAAGAAGCTGCAGCCATGTGGGAGTCATCTTGCTGCGTACATGTGTGAACCCCCTGCTGCTCACTGTGCCGATCCAACGGAGGATTGTAATGACAAGCTCTTGCAACAGAGCTTGCTGCTTCAAGCTTCTGATCTGGAAGAAATGCACAGTAGGAGAGCATGAATGCTGGCCCTGATGCTTTGTCCTGGCCCACCCTTACCAAGTGATTGCAGTGATTCCTTGCAGTTCATTGACCAAGATGGGGGAGATGTGGGAAAGTTTGGTATCTTTTCTATGGTCAGTGTGGAAATAGGTTTCCTGTTGTCCACTAGGCTTGAATGAGTTACTGTCCATCATTGCCTGGTGGACTATGGGAGAGGGGCTTTAGCTTTGAAGTGCATTAGGCACTTCACTGTCTCTTCTAGTTAATGCACGTTCTCTTTGAGGTACATACCTGCTAGGCTTCAGCTATGTTCATAAAGTGCATCTAAACCAATGTGGTTAGACTGCTGGATCTATTTTGCCAGCTTAAATTGAATGAGCACAGGCATAATCAGATAAGGGGAACCTATGGGGAAAAGATAATCTTGAGCTTGGCTTTGTTGTTTGCAATGACTGCTCTTTCAATACCACATTAAAAGTTCTGGCCTGTCCATATTCACAACATAATGCAGCCACAGCCCCCAAGTAGTCTTGTGTTGACTCAAGTGCAAATAACTTATTTTTTTGTTTTGCAGATTGACAAAATCCGTATCAAATTTCATGTCTTATATCAAATAATTGTCCTAAAGAACTTCCTTAAAACACCTACATTTAATATTTATTTGTAGAGACACAGTATACCTTATAATGGCTTGGTCTGACTACCAGCTAATCAGATGATAACCTGCTTCTCAATTCACGTGGCCAGGCATTGATGCCATGTGGCACTTGGCCATGGCACATTCGACCTTGGAAGGCAGCGTGGCTCTCTCCCAGAGACGCAGAACTTACAACATTATTTATACATGTCTTTATAGTGCAATCAAGTTTATTTTTGATGACCTTTCAGTCTCTTAGCGGTATTTTCTGTAATAATTGCTTTATATTTAAAATATAAGGAACCTTGTTAAACACAATGTCACTTTGGTTATCAGTAAATACTGCTTTTTCTGCTTTAGGTTATATGCTTTACTTGTTTTTGTGGTTTAAATTCAGCTTGAGACCTTCACGGACACAGTAACTGTGGACTCCCCGTAGCAACTGTAGTGGGGAGCATCAGAAAGCAGGTAGCTGAATAAAATCAAGTGCCACGGTATATTTCTCCTTACGAGGAATACAGCCAGTCTTAACATATTTCTTGCATCTCTCCCTTATTTTTTTCTTTCCTTTATGCCAGTTTATGGGCCAAAAAGGCAGACAAACCACCAGCTCTCACATCATGTGTAATATAGGTCTTGGAATTTTTCTCTTTTAACTGATGCTATTAACTGTTGTTTTTTTTTTTTAATAATTATTAAAGGACAGCTTGAAAGAAGTAATGTGGCCTTTACTTGAAGACCTTGATAGTCTACCATTTTTATTGACATATGACTAGGAGAATCATCCTCATTGTTGAGTGTATTATGTCTTACTCTACTCCAAACACACCTAAATATAACTTGCAGCTGTTGATTCTCACTGTGCCTTTCTCTGCAGGTCATGGTGCCACCAGTACTCTGTATTTTCTGTGGTGTAATGGAGAGATCCTGGTTTAGTAAGACCAGAGTAATGTCTCAGTCCACCTGTTCACCAGCTGTGGAGCCACGCAGTAGGCTTGACTCCACACAGCAGCATGGGAGGTGCACAGACAGAAGACAACCGTTGGAACTGAAAATATTTATTTGGTAACGCATCAAAAATGAAGAGGGAATGATAGAAGCAAAAACTGCTTCCACCAGCCATTACATTCTGCCTATGGTCACTCTCACATGTTCCCACAGGTCAGGCAACTAATAGGTATTTGTGGGTCAACAGCATTGAGGCAGCATGGTGGTCCAGTACCTGAGGAGACTCCACTGGCATTACTGAGCATCTTATCTTGTTTGAGTATCTTCAGCTGGCCAGGTGACTTGTGTTGACCTGAAGGACTCCCTCTGCTTTAGCGACTCATCTTGCCCTTTGCAAATGTTATCAACAACTTTTTTTACAGTTGTATCTCCTGATGCAAACATTAATAAACAGCATGGTTCTTGCAGAGAGGCACACACTTTCAGCAGTGATTGCTACTTCTTTTTGGACAATGAATTTTTGCCGTTTGTATGTCAGCTAGTAATTAACCCACCAATTATGATAATCCATAAATTAATCAATAATCCATAAATTAATCCATAAACCATGCAAATTATGATGTATACATACACCATTATTTTTTCTTCAGAATTAAAAATTCCTTGGTTTGCTAAATCTGAACCAGTGCTTTTATCAACCATATGTATTATTTTGTCAAAGAATGAAATCAGGTTTATTTCTCACAAATTTTTTTTTTAAAAACGTACTGAATTATTGCCATTATTTTCATTGTTGAGGCCTTTGTTAGCTTACTTGTAGTAACGTCACATCCTCTTACATATGGTTATTACTACAGAACCATCTAACAGTTGTTGGTGTCATCTCGCTTTCTCTTTGTGAACACTGGCGCAACACACTCCTCCAAGATGTTGGGATTTCTCCAGTATTTTTAAATACCTAACTCCATTGGGCCAGGTGCCTCCTCAGCCAAATCTTTTATGATTCTGAAAATGCTTACACTTAATAGACACTGTTAAAACCTTCCTTAGTTCACAAATAGATTAGGAAGTTTTTTACCATCCTCGCGTGGCATGAATACACAGTTCTGTTTCTTTCTGTATACAAACAACTATCTTCTTTCATCAAAAATCCTCCATCAAAAATCCTCTCTATCAACCATTTTACCTATATCCACCCAGTATGAGCCTAGGCCGTTGCTAGCATTTCTTGGTTTTCAATGTGTTTTGAAAAAACTCCTTCCAAGTGCCGTTAGCACTTGCAGCAATCCAGTTTTTCCAGATTATTTTGCACACTCTTTACCCCCTCGTATGCTTCATAAATTCTCACTTTTATTGTGTGTAATATACATCCTTTCTATCCACACCTCCCTTCTGCTTTTTTTTTCCCCCCTGTTGGTTATATACAAGATTTTGAAGTGTTACCCTCAAATTCCCTGTTAGGCAGGAGAAGTGTTTAATGATGTCTGTCTTTCACAACTGCAGAACCACAAATCTTCTCCATCTTCTGGCAGTGAAACTTCTATTAAAAATTTTATTGTAGCTTTCTCCTGGAGAGTCATATTTTCCTGATTGCTTGATTTGTGGTAAGTGTAACCCATAACTTCCTCTGTTTGAGGATTTACCATTTTGAAATACTAATTTGCTTACATATTTGCCCAACTTCTCAGTTAAAACACATATGTACATAAGTATCTTACTTAAAAACTTGCCTCATGGGCATTAACCAAATGTACCCATACACATCTACAGATACATACCCACATACACATGTAAATGTTGCTTACCTACTTAAAACATGTACACATACCTATATCTGTATACACACATACATATATACAGTCATACAAACACTCATCTGTATACAATTTAATTTTCCCTGAAACTGGAGAAGAGGCATTTCTAAAAATGTATGTGTGTTGCCTGTAATGCAGCATCCCAGCAAAGAGCTGAGGCTATCCATGTTGCCCTCCCAAGATGAAGACACGTTTTTCTGTGAGACCACCTCTGAACGTTCACTCAGCTCCTCCACCACGGGCAGCCCTACCCATCCCATACCATCCTATAGCTCTGTTAATATTTGGACGGGGCTGGCTCTCCTGAGCAAGATGGGTCAAGGGACGGAAGGCAAAGGACTGCAGGTGGGTGACAGAAGGGTTTCCTCTATTCTGAAGCCTTTAGAAGTTGCTCAGACTTTGGTTTAGCTGAAAAGGAGAGAGAAAAAAAAGAAGTAAGATGCAGGGAGACCAAAGCAGTGCAAAACATCACCTCATGCTGCCTTCCACCAGCAATGAGTCTCCAGCTCCTTTGTTCCCCACCTCTCCCTCCGGGATCTTGCAAGATCCTGACTTCCATCTCTCCTGAATGGGGGTGCAGGGGAGAGGAAGATGCTCCTTGCTGCATCTCACCCACATGGGAAGCGGCTCAGCGTTTTAAACTCCTACCTATTCTTCTCCTGAGCATGATGAAGAGGACAACGATGAAAATGGCGGTAGCAATGAAACCCCCCATCAGTCCTTCCGATCCCGTTTGCTCTGCAGAGGAAGAGGAGGATCAGTGACGTTAGGTTGGCTGGAGGGGCTGCCCAGCCAGTGAGTTGTCACAGTTAAACGAGCTCCCCCAGCAGCTGATCGTGTGCATGCTCTTGTCAGGCACACAGATGTGACACGACACACACGAGCTAAAGGCACACAGACGCAGGGCCAAGGAGACACAGGAGCAATCTCCCATCAGCAGGGAGAGTGAGAACCCCAACAGCTCCAACAGGAAGAAGGACTTTTTGCCTTATTTCTCAGGCAGCATCGATCTCCAGCTGAACATGAAGTCCAGCTGGGTGCCTGTCTCCTTGGGGCACGGCTGTTTTCTTGTGCCTGTCCAGCGGGGTCCAGCCCATGTGCTACGGACTTTTGCTCTGTTGCTCTACTTTTGGTCATAAAATCTCTTTTCCCCTGAAGGAAATGAGATCATTTCTCCCCAAAAGCTTCAGGGAGTGAAATAAAAGCTGAGGAAGTGAAAGGGAAAGGGGAGGACAGAGAAGATGGGTATGAGAGGACACCAGAAGGAAAGCATGGAGAAACAGGCAGATGTGGTGTGCCTCAGAGGTTTTGATCCCTGTGGTGGGTAGATGAGGTGGGAGGAGGTCTGGGCAGGATGAAGAACTCGCCCCTCTGCCCTGGACACCTACCCGGTGCCTTAAGATGGGCGCTCACAGAGATGGGCTCTGCCAGGGCCACGTGTGAAACGTGGCAGCTGTAGGTGGCTGGTGCCCGCGCTGTGTCTGAGCTGATGCTGAGGTAGGAGGTGATGCTGTATGTGCCATCTTGGCTTTGTCGGTGGCTGGAGAAACGTGTGTTTGAGAGCGGGATTTCCACATCACCTTCAGGAGTCTTCTGTGTCCAGCTCACCGAGACATCCAGGGGGTAATAGCCAGCGATGTTGCAGGTCAGAGTAGTCGTCACATCTCTCTCGAATGATACCACTGCTGGAAGGAGACGAACTCTTGGAGGCACTGGAGGAGATAAAAAGGGAATTAACTTATTGTTAGCAGAGTGCAAAAGTCCCTGTCCACAAGGGAGAGAAGACAAGCTGCCTGTGACAATGAGTGTTGGGAGCGACGGGATAAGGGTGCAGGGTAAAGTTTCTGTGCCTGGAGACATGGGACTCCTGTTGCCCCCCAGGGCATTTCTCTTCCTCACCGGCCACGTGCAGCTTGATGATGTGCTGGGCCTGGTGCAGTGGGGTGGACACCAAACAGATGTACGTCCCTTCGTCTTCCACGCTCACTCCTTCCAGGCGAAGTGATGCATCTCCATTCCCCAGCAGTGCCCCCATATCCACGTGGACTTTTGGCTGCACTGCTGGGCCTGTGCTCCCCACCTGGTACTGGAAAAGGTGACGGCCGCTGCCTTGGTGCTGCCTCCTCCACTCCAAGGAGGAGAGTGAGTTGCTGGGAGCCAAGGCAAAGCGGCAGTCAAGGGTGACCGATCTGCCAGGATGCGTGTGCAGGGAAGTGTTGCGTGATGATGACTGAAATTCAACTAGAAACAGAAAGAAGGGCACAGGCAAGCAGAAAGTTAGACAGATGTTATTAACGAAGGTATCCTTGGTTGGGAACGGCTGGTGGAAGGGCTGGCAGCGAACTCCCCACCCAGAGGAGGAAGAGGCACAGGTACCCCATGGTACCTGTGCTTCAGTCCCCTCAGGGGACTGAAGAGCTGGAGTAAGCCAGCCCAGTGGGGTTAGCAGGGCAGGGAGATGGGCAGCATGTGTCCTGAAGGTGTTTGTCATCCTCAGGGGCTGGGGCATGGGAAACCTTGAGAGGAGGCATGGGAGGGGCAATATACATGACCCCTTTTTCCCTAAGCACCAACACCCAGCAGCCCTCAGGTCCTGGTGAGAGGTGGGGCATGGGATTCTTGGGGAGGCAGGCTCCCCTTCCCTCATCTCGCTCGGTGCTGTGGGGGCACCCCGAGCCACCTGGTCACCTGTGGTCAGCACTGTCCCCTCCTCGCTCATAGGAATCCTCAGCATTGGGTGCAGTGTTGCATCATGCTCCTCCTCCCGGCTGCTGCAGCGGGGGCCTCTGAGCACCAGGGTGATACTGATCCCGCTGGAGAGTCGCAGCGTGGCCATGAACCAGGAGGTGTGGCAGAGCCCCTTGCCAGCCTGCTGGGAGCTGTACAGGGAGATCTCACAGTTCACCTCCTTCCCTTCGCAGTCGGCATGCAGCAGGGACTCAGCGTGTGGGATGGATACCGACTGGGCTGTGGGGATAGAGGAAGAGGTTTATCCATCTGAACCCAAAAGGGAAAAGAAAGTGCAAGATGATGAGACACATTATTTTGGAGAAGCATCATGCGCTGCAGGGGTTGGTCAGAGCCCAGAAATGCCAGGCTAGGCTTAGTAGATAAAGGTCTGCAAAGAATATGAGAGGTTTGCCATGACTGTCTTATATCCCTCAGCCTATTGGCAGTATTTTATCTTGCCAGATTGCGCAGAGTTCACTCTGGGTAAAGGAAGCTGTTAGGAAAGGAGAATACACAGAACAGATTCCCGTTAGTTGTGTATGTGCCGTGCATGTGCATGCCCAGTGTATGTGTATGCCCAGCAAGCTGTGCATGTGAAACACCCAGTAAAGACTTGCAATGTTTATTTGGTTTAGGCCTGAATCCAGAAAGGAAGGGGACACCGAAGCATCGCAGGTAAGGAAGGAAAGGGTGGCACGAAGGCAGGAGCAGCTCGATACACCGGATGCACACTGTATCTGGCTTTGATCACAACATGGGCTTAAGTGTAGGCGCAAGCATCCTAGTGACCTACAGGCTTTCCAAGGACATCACTGGAAACTAACTCGGTGTCTGCAATGCCTGACAGTAGCCTGGCTGTAGTGTGCTTGAACTCAGCCATGCCCAGTCCATCCACTTGAAAGCCACTTGAAAGAGAGCTTGGACCCAGGCTCATGGATTCTGCTGGGCCTTCAGCTTTCTCTCTGAAAATGTCTCAGAGCCTTGAATAAGCTTGTACCGAAGCACATGCTCGCAGATAAGCACTGCAGGCAGTGAACAAGGCCACAGTGAAGTACAGGATCAGACCTTTGCTGGACTGTGTTTGCAAAGTTACGTGCAAAGCAAGGGGAACAGAGGCTGGACTGCAGGTTGGCACCCCCGGGTGAAGTAAGGAGAGCCAAGTCACACACAGCTGGCTGCCTGAGCAGGGTGGCTCTGCTTCATGCCCACTTACCATGACGCTTCCTGCTAGCAAAAAACACCCACATGACTAAAGATGTGAACACTCTTTACGGGTGCAAGAATACTGTGTAATGGAATAATTCCTGAGTTGTTTTTGACAAAGTATTTCCCAAGAAACAGGCAATCTAGGATAGCCCCAGTAGGAAGGAGGTGCCTCAACAGGGCTTTCTAACACCTTCCACAAACTTCCGTTCTTAAAGTCCCAATTGCCAAATTCAGGGAATCGTGACTGTAACTTCAGTAGCCATGTGAAAATTAATTGTCTAAACTCAGTTAAAGACAAGTCTTGCAGAAGCCTGGTGTGGGTAAGTGGCCCGAACCCCAGTGTCAGCTCTCCCACCCCAGCCCTCCCGCTCACCTGAGACTTCAAAGACAAGGGGAGAAGAGGAGTCAGGATTTTTCGGTGGGACTTTGTACTCAGTTACATCACCCAAGTTCCCGTCATCTCTGGCGCTGACACCCCTCAGCATGAGGACAGCAGGATGCTCGGAGGACGAGCCGCCGGGGCCGCTCCGCAAGCCTCTTGCATCTTCCTCCACGTAGGAGCAGCCCAGGGTGATGTCCACCCTGTGAAACGGAGGTGCTGGCGTTGGCGCTTGCGCTGGCCCTTGAGGGAGGGAAAAAGAACCTGTCGAACGCGTGAACCCCACGGCAAGCAACCAAAGAGTTGCACGAGTTTCTCTGGGACGGGGGATAAATAATCGGGAGGCTGGGGGGAGCTGGCTGCCATTTTGGGGTTGTTCTTCCAGCCCTGCTGGTGGCCGACCCCTCCAGCACTGTGCCACCCTCCTCTGGCAACAGCGTTGACTTTTAGGAAGACCCTGGTTCTCCCGATCTCCGCTGCAGGGGTGGGGGGTGCGAGGGCAGGAGGAGCCCCGGCCC